ATCCCCCCCCCCACACACAGAAAACAAGGGAGGGAAGCAACGTGTTCTTTTATTGGTGCAAGTATGTCCAGTCACACCACGAACTGACATCCTGAGCATCGTACAGCGTTATGCTCAGAGGTCATCTCAAAATAGCAAAACATCCAATTTAGGGTATGTATCAAATTGGGAAAATAAAGTAGCAAACGCAGACACTGTTTCAAGTAGAAACGAGAACTGATGACCCGTGAAGTGCACGTTGACACGAAGGCTCTTTAACATGTGTGCAGAAAACGTCCTAACACTGTATTCCAAATATAAACTCTCAAATATTAAGCCTTGCTTTATCTCAAAGACATAAACAAAGCAATAAGAATATCAATATACACTCCGTACTAGCTAGAACATCCGAAAAGTGCAAACACTGTGACAATACAGTGCCACTGTTCTTGCTTCCCCCAGGGCTGCCACCTTCCCGACGCCTGGCCTTGGCATCTCCAGGCTCTCCCTAGGAACTTTGGAAACTGTGATCCGACCCATGCTCACCCCGGCTTCCCGGCTCCTGCCGAAGCCAGGCGTGTGGAAAGGGACGAGGGCAAGGCGCCCCGCCAGGGGGACAGCCAGCAGGCAGGCGACTCCGGCGCGGAGGGACAGCACCACGCACAGGAAGGCCCGGGATCGTGCCAGGAAGTCAGACGCGGAAAAGGGAGACAGAAACTCCCTCCAGTGTCGGGCAGTTTTATCCGAATGGGCACCACCTGTCATGGCCCAGCTAACGTTCAGATTCCAGTTAGGGGCACCTCCTGCCCAGAGGAGGAGGGGACAGTCCACAGACACGTCCATTCAGGAGCTGCTTTTCTTCCTTCCTACAGGGCTTCACGAACAGCTTCCAGCGCCACATCCTCCAGTCTACTCTGTGTCCTCTTTGTCACAGCCCCATGTGACTTCCAGTTACAGCCTGGAAAACTGACATTTCCACAACTCCCCCCATCACGTTATTTTAGATGTTGTCTTTTCTAAAATGTAATCGAAGAACAATCTACCAGACATATTCTCGCAGAAAATATGCTGCCAGGTGTCCCCTGCCCCTCCTCGACACCGTAAATCCCTGATAAAGGAAAATGAACATGTAAACTTTGGAAAGCCCGTACTCAAAGGCGCACTTCCAGAAGTGTGTGGACGAGACCTCCCGGCCACCCCAGCCCCTCCTGCTGGAACCTCGCAGCCTGGCAAGGGTCGGCGCCCCGCGGCCGCGATGACAGAGCAGGACACCGGCCCCCAGTACCCTCTAAGGCACTAACCCCGACGTCAGAGACACTGGCTGGAAAGGCATCCGAGCAGGCAGGGCTCGCGTTGGTTTTGGTTGGGTTTTTAAATACTTCTTTTCCGTAGGATGTTAATAATCAAAAGTAGAAAATAAAAATCTGCATTTCATTAGAGTAAGATGCCATCATGGATGCCATCTCCCATGACACTCTCTCCCCGACCCCTCCCCAAAGCAGGGCCCTGCCCTGTCATTTAAAATAAACAAAAAACTTTAAGTGCCAAAGGCTGATGCATGAAATAATGACCTTTGTTTTTTTTCATAAAAGTTATATACAAAATGGACCCCAGCCAGTGAGGCTTCCTCATCTCAACCCACGTCAGTCACGATTAAAACTCGATTCACGCGTGTGCTTTATCCAGCGTCCATCCGCAGGCTGCGTCCACGCCGTCAGGCTCTGTGAAGGAGGGTGGTCCTGTAGGTGGGCAGGGGACAAGGCAGGGCTCAGACTCTTCAGGGCAACAGAGAGGGCAGGCCACGTGCTGGTCCAGCCGGTCCTCAGCCTCCCACTGATGGGAGCCCCTCCTGGCAGCCCCGCACACACTGTGCCTGCCCACTGCACCCCTGCCCGGCCTGTGCAGAGGTGCCCCGGCCCCTTTCAGAAGAGCAGGTCCCTCATGCCCACCCCCAGGCCTCTCCCTTCCTTGCAGACTCAGGTGTCCCTGGAGTCCTCTACCTGAGGGTCTTCCAGCTGTCCTTTTCCATGTGGTTCTCAGGACCTTCACTTTCGAAGGAGGCGATGAAGAGAGCTGAGGGACGGGAGAGCCCCTCAGACCCTGAATCCCCACGCAGTGTCTGCCCACTGTGCTCAGTCATCCCTGGATGGCCCAGAACCAGGAGGACAGTGACCTCCGGCTAGCCATACACAGGTCTGCTTGTTGGGGACTCTGGGAAGTTTCCTCGTTCTGCAGCGCCTGTCCGATCCCGTCCTGGCTCTCTTGCGTGGCCTCTGGATCCTGACCCTCTGTTCTCCTTCATCTGTCATTTGCCCCCAACCCACCCACATGCACACTTGCCCGCCAGCTGAGCCGGCCCCTGCGTGGCATGGGGTCCTGATCAGGCCGTGTCCTGGGGCGACCCCAGAGGGTGTGTGTCTGCACAGGGGAGGTGCACGTGCTGCCCGGAGAGGAGGCTCACCTTCCTCGTTGTAGATGGGCGCCGTGAGCAGGTAACTCTGGATCTTCTTGTCCTTCTCGAAGGGACACTCTACCTGTGTCCATGTCATGAACTCATGGATCTGTCTGGAGATCTCCCAAAATTTCTGAAGGGACAGAAGACCACCATGTTCATCTTGTCCCCTTAAGCTTAAAACTCTTGGTCAAAGGCAGGGGACATAAGTTCTGGTCTCAGTCTGCTGCTCATTGTGCCGTCTACTCAGCTGACCCAGTGGCTGTGGTGGCACTTCATGCAGCATTAGAACCAGCAGGCCCGATTCTGATGCTGCAGAGGCCACTCTGTAGGCTGGCAAGGCAGCAAGGTCTGTGCCGCCCCTGTGCAGGGACCCAGCCTGAGGCAGGCATCCTGGCCACGCCCAGGACAGCAGCACTATCCAGAACATGTCATGATCCCCCTCTCTGGGGCCTGAGTAGGATCCCCAGCCCCCTCCACTGTATGGCAGCAAGGTCTGTGCCGCCCCCGTGCAGGGACCCAGCCTGAGGCAGGCATCCTGGCCACGCCCAGGACAGCAGCACTATACAGAACATGTCATGATCCCCCTCTCTGGGGCCTGAGTAGGATCCCCAGCCCCCTCCACTGTACCTATCCACCACCCCCTGTCACCTCTGTCCTGCCCTCCTGACCTTGACCCGGTGCCCTTAGCCCCAACTGGCAGCTCCTTCACCTCCACCTGGAATTCTCTGCTACCTCCTCTCTGCCCAAGTCTCTTCCTGCCAAAGCCCTCCTGACCCCAAGCCCCTGGGG